CACACACACACACACACACATGCAAGCACATATGCATGCACACACTCATACAATCAAAATTTATGTCATCGACAGCTATATATATAATATACAAACACTCACTTCCACCTCTTCTTTCACTGACAGGTATGCAGTGCTGTTCAGAACCAGGACTTCACCGTGATCGAAGACTACCTGATAGGTCTGAAGACTCTCCTGTACCTGAGGAGTCGTGATCAGTTCGCCAACTGGGATGGCCAGAGCAAGCCTGTGGAGAAACATCAGAAGGGGAAAATTGTGGTCAGAGTAGGCGACCTCATCGGCAAGGTGGGATATTTATGTAAAATACTATGTGTGTCTTTTGCTTTGTTGTCGCTTTCTTTTAACTAGTTGATTTAATTTTGTTTTGCATTATTTAGCCAAAGGGCTAGAACTCAAATGGCAATTGGATCGGAAAAGTAGAAGTAAAATAAAGTATGTATTATTTTTTATTATACCTTTTCTTTCTTTTTTTTCTTTTTTTTTTTTTTGGGGGGGGGGGGGAGGTGGGAGTCTGTGTGCTGTAAAAAAAACCCACCTAACATTTACTACCATATTAACACATTTTCTGTGTAACTGGCACCAAATAGGAACATGGTGCAAAAAATTCTTTAAAAATACAATTTGTGTTGTTGTCTTGACGTGTTGTCAATAGCTGCATATCTTCAAGGCCAAATACCCCCCTCCCCCCCATCATCACTTCACCCCAATCCCCCTGTGTTTTGTGTATATTTCTTTTCACCTTTATTATTAGCAATGCTGTTGTGCTGTGTGTGGTAGCCTATCCGCTCGAAATGTTTGGAATCCCAAAGAGAAAAGATTTTTCGCTTTTCTTTCTAGGCTAATAGTAAATGCAAAAATAATTGTTGTTATTTATTTGTATTTCCTAATTGTTCCCCAAACTTATATCATCTCCTAATATTGTTGCAATCTGCCAATTTGCTGAAACATGCCATTCTGACATTTCTTTTATTCCTTTAAGCCCAAAGTGTAGATTTGTTTTATGATTCATAGGCTAAACATGTAGCATTATTGATGTTCTTATGCATGCACATGCATGAACTGCATTTGTATTCTCATCTACTCGTCAATCATATTCCAGTCTCTGCCATCTTTTGGCCCCTATCAAAAACAAAGAGAGACAATCATCGCAGGGCTGAAGCAAAAGTTGGATCTGTTAACGGACGTTGAGAATGATGAAGGGAAGAAGACAGAAGGAACTAAGCAGAGTCGAGAGATTCCTAAGGTTGGTAACATTATTTCTCATCGTTTCCAAGGTGTTTATCACAGACAAATATATATATCCTCACTACCCTCCTCCTCCTCTTCCGCTTCCTCCTCCTCTACCTCCTTCTTCAAGCAAATTCAGTCATGCATGCTTCCCCTTTCTGTCTTTCCTCCTCCTCCTTGTCCTTCTCCTTCTCCTCCTCCTCATATTCCCTCCTTTCCTTCCTCCTTCTTGTCCTCTTTCTCCGATTCCATCCTCTTCCTATTCCTCCTTCTACTCATACTCCTGCTCATATTCCTTCCTCTTCCTTCATTTTCCTCCTCCACTTCCTCCTCTTCCTACATATAAAAAGCTGTAACTCCTACCTCTCGGCTACCCTCACAGATACAGGATCTAATCGGCGTGGCTGTGCCGGGCATCACGTCCTACGGAGAACTAGACAACACTGACCAAGTGGTGGCGCTCATTGATGAGGTAAGGCACAAACCTAACCTACTAGCTTCAAATTTGTGTTTGTCCGTTTTTTGTTGGTTTGTTTGTTTGTCTGTCTGTTTGTTTTGTTTTGTTTGTTTGTCTGACTTGTGGGTTGTTTTTATTCATTGAGATTATAATATGGGGAATTTCTGCTCAGCTTCAGAAGGTAGTGAACTGAAATTATGGTAAAAGGAAGGGAAAGAAAGATAAAAGACAGAGCAAGTATTACTGTCACCTCAATGAACACATTGAGGATGAGGCAAAAATTTCAAAGTCCACTACTGTACTTTAAACAAAAAACAAAACTTGCTTCGATGGTTGGACTTTAACCCCTAACGTAAACGCCTGTGTCATAATCTCTCTGTCTCTTTCTCTCTTCACAGGATATGTGTATCAACTGCGGCAAGTGTTACATGACCTGCAACGACTCTGGATATCAGGCCATCTCCTTTGACCCCGAGACACATTTACCAAAAGTGGACGAAAAGACATGCACGGGTAAGTTGAGCTGAACGTTTAGAAGACAAAGACAGACCATTTTCTTTAAAATATTTCTTGAAGAATTCTGGTTTACTGTAGTGAGTACACATTGGCAAATCAAACACTATCATGCATTTCATGACATCGACAGATCATACACAGTCATGCATTGTGGAACATTGTTCACTTGTACATTATCGCTCATTTTGGAGCATGCCACAATAATTTCAAATACATGTACATTATTTGTGGTATCTAGGTTGAAATCAAAGTAATTTGTTGGACATGTTATTAATTTCAATTTTGACATTTTTAGTGTTTTAATCAAATAGCCTAACTTATCAGATTTAGGAGGTGGGCTTCGATCCTGCCTATCAGGGCCATCCCGAGCTGAGAGGGATACAACATCCCAGTAGAAAGACCAAGACACTCGAGAAATATTATCTCCACCCAAGAGGAATTGAAATCACATCTTTTGCATGCACTGCCATCAAACGAGAAGCCAAAGATGCCAACATCTTTTTATTTATCTTTTTTTTTTCTATCGGCCTCAAATGTCGGACTTCTTTTTGTCCCTCTCACAGGTTGCACACTGTGTGTGTCTGTTTGTCCTATCGTGGAATGCATCCAGATGGTGCCCAGGTCGGAGCCGTACGTACCACGGAGAGGCATACCTCTTAACGTCTCTAGCGTGTCCGGAACACCAGCCGTCATCCTCGAGGCCAACTGAGAAAACAAAACAAGCAGGATTGGCTGGCTGGATGAACATTATTTTTGTGAAATGTGAGATTTTACGGAGTCAGAAGCTGAGTTCACAAGTCCAAGGAAGTTGTAAACAGTCAAAGTTATGCAAAAATTGCTGAGCAGTCTAAGTCAAAATAGGGTTTTGGGGGTGTTTGGGGGGTTTTAAAGAATTTTTTTATTTTGATCCTAGCTCGAAATGTTGAAAGGTGTGTTTTTATAGAAGCTAGTCTCAATGGCAAAAGGAAAAATCACTGTCTGGAAAAGTGGTGAACAGAAAAGTGAGTAAGGGGAAAGTAGAGCAAGGTGTGTATTCTCGAGGATGATGTTTCTCTTTTCAGAATTAACAAAACGATACAATAATATACCTCCTCCCTCAACCCTTCCATAACGATACAATAATATACCTCCTCCCTCAACCCTTCCATAACGATACAATAATATACCTCCTCCCTCAACCCTTCCAAAACGATACAATAATATACCTCCTCCCTCAACCCTTCCAAAACGATACAATAATATACCTCCTCCCTCAACCCTTCCATGCTAATGGTAAACATACAAATTTAATAAATCATGATTGTTCTGTGATTCAGAAATAGGAGTTTGGTGCACCTGGCTTGATGATTGAGATTACATGAACAGTGTGAAACTGTTAAATTCATCGCAAATTGTTGATAAAAGATGCACCAGATTCAAACTTAATCTAATGAGCTTGAATATCTGTATTACAATATCTTCGTCTAGCCTGGAGCTTACAAACATCTTGTAGCGAAAAGTGTCTGTTTAGAAAAGCCCATATTTTTAGAAAATATGATTAATAAAAAAGGAGCTGTGCTTCTATTACCGTTTTTTTTAATGATCACGAAAGTAAATTTGAATGTTTTACACTATCATGCTCACTCTATATTTATCCTTATAATATTGCTTCATCTATTCCTGTACTTCGATTAAAGAGATTTTGTGAACCCTCTTTATTAAGAGAGGATGAAGCAAGTCTAAGAGTTGTGATATGGGATTAATACCTGCATTTAAGAGACATCTGCCTGTCTGCTTGTAGTAAATCAGTATACAATCATGTGTACCTTCAAGAGTAAAAACAGAAGATGATAGGAAAAGATGAAAGAAAAAAGACACGCTTTTTTTTTTTTTTAAAGAACATTAAAAATTTCAAGATAAGCATTGAAAAACGAAACCAAAAGTCCTGTCACCAAGTATTCATCAAAGAAAAATTATTTCTATCAGTTTCCTTCAGAGAAATATGGTTGTATTGCCTTGCTGTACTTATGCTTTTCTCCTAAAGCTAAACAAAAACAACTTAACATATAAACATATACTGTGTGTGTGTATATACTGTTGTCTTATCCTCATGGACATGTTAGTTTTACACATATGTGTCACAACACAGTGGAATCAGGAGCTCGTCAATTTTTTGGAATGAGGAGTTAATGATATCATCTTAAAGCATGTTTATTTATCTTGCTTTCGATGAAAAAATACACATCTGTCTTGACTAGAAATCAAGATATCTGCGATTGAAGGAGGTGGGGTCGCCTGGTTTAAGAGCTAAAATTATCGAGTAAATGGCCGTCAAAGTTTGGTGACTTACATAGCTTGAGAGTTCTTGGAAACTGAAAATTTACGTTTTTTGTGCCTTTAATCAACTTTTTTTCTGTAAAATCCGTACAAAAATGTGTTTTTAAATGTACAAGAAGGTGTTGATGAGTCCAACAATAAAGAATTTTAAAATTTCCAAACCGACGGAAGTATACCAAATTCCTTTATTTCATTATTTTCACGGACACCTGATTTCACTACGATGCCTCTCATATTCTAGTCCCTCTTCTGTTTTCTATCTGACAACGAGATTGTTCCTGTTTTCTTACATCAGTCATATTTACAAGTATTAGCTTTTATTATGTCAATATATCAAATCATAGTTGTTTTTAAGACTGTACATATAGCAACAACTCATTCATAAAAGAGTTGCCGATATATCACATAAGGTATTATAATGTTTTTTGTTCTGCTTGTAATATGAATATATTACGGGATGAAAGCAGACTAGACAATAAAATTGCCCTGTAACCAAGATGAAGGTCTTTTCGGACTTTTCTTTTTGTCAGGAACTTTAATTCATTCTTAGTACAATTTCATGTCATTAAATGGATAGTGCAGATTTCCTTTGGTTGTATAGAAAGCTCAACACACCGTTCTAATGAAATTGGGTGTGAATCCGAAGGCCTCTTTATTTTAAAAGCACCCACACGGTTCAGTACTGAAGGGACAATTCAGAACAATGCAATGATGCTTTTGGGATGTGTCTATGTGGTGAAGCACAGTTTTGGGGCACAAAAACTCGAGATGATTACAATAGGAGTAACAGTCGTAACGTTAACAATAATATTAATTATATTGACACAAAAATAATAATGATTAATGATAATGATAATATCACAATCATGATGATTATAATGAAAATACTGTTATAAAAGTGTTAATAACAATTTAATGATACCCAATAATCACAAACAATAATAACCACCATTATAATTTGTATTACCACCATCATCATCATCATCATCGTCACCGTCATCATTATCATCATCATCATCATTATCATCATCATCATAGTAATAATTTTTTTTTTTTTTAAATTATTATTATTATTATTATTATTATTATTATTATTATTATTGCTCTTATTATTATCATCAGCCTTAAACAGGCTCTACACTTTTGTTTTCAAACAGAGTGTCATCAGTAAAGGAGATAAATCTGACTAGCCCTTCCAGGCCAGGGCAAAGTCGGCATCTTATTATTATAGTCTTACTAGAGTGTAAAAACAAACTGATGTCTCACTGCGACGCACATTAATTTCATAGCTGTACGGTATCCAAAGGGAAGTAACCAAGTAAATAAAGAATATCTTTAAAATAATACATTATGTAGGCTGCTTTGTATGCGCTAACATTCGTCAATGGCGACAAATTAATTAATGGAAGTTGGAAGTGTTACGAAAATTTGGCCAGCTATGGTTTTTTGCCCAACACAATCAATATAATTTTTTTTTAAGGCGTAGGCCTACAATTAAGTTTGTCTTACAGTGGCAATGCATCTCGACACGTTGCTTTATTTCGTCGAGGCTCAATTGTTTTGACCTGTTGAGAAAAGTAAACCTGAGTCCTCCTTTTCTATCTTCTTTGACCTACCTACATCCAGGGTCCCTAATTTCTCTGGAGCCAAATTGGGTCGCCGTCATCCGCTAACCACGTGTTAAATTTGTCTTAATAATGGTTGGGGAGGGGGACGCGGAGGTTGTAAAATTTACGTCCATTGGATTCTTTTTCTGCACACTCACAACTCATTACATTTGTATTGTGACACAGTGGAATCGGGTGTTCGTCAAAATGATGAAATAAAAAAAAAACTGTCATTTTCCCGATCGATGGGTATAGTTTTAAACTTTTTTTTTTTTTTTTTTTGAGGGGGGGGGGGCATCTTTTATGTATATTTAAAAACAGGTTTCTTGGTGGGTTTTACTGAGAAACATCAATCAAAGACACCCCAAAAGTAAACGTACAGGTTTCATGGATTCTCAAGCTTTTGCAGTCAGTAAACTTTGGTAGCCATTTTCTTACTAATTTTACTTCTAACATCAGGCAACCTATGTCCCCTTCAACCGAAAACATCTCAACTTCGATGTATTCAAGTTAGATACTGTTGTTGTTTTTTTTCTTTTCATCAAAACAAACGTTAAGATTATAGCCCTACCAATAACTCCACAATTATGCTAAAGAATTAAGTAGCGCTTGATTCCATCGCGTCAGGTCACATTTGTTTTGCCATATTATTTTCCATCTACTTCACTTCAAGTACAAGCACTGTAGCTGAGGATGTCTCCCTTCAGCCTTTGTCCTCGAGATGTGCATGCGCATTTACCTGTAGGCCTACCTACTACGTTACTGTTGATGGGGCTGTCCGCACAGAAGTGGGCGCAGATGGTTAGGGGACACCACTGGTAGGTCCTACTTCTTTGCCACTGATAGGTCCTACTTCTTTACTTTCCCACCGTTGTTTCTGTACTGTCTGTCTTACTTTTTCCCAGCACTAGATGATCATAATTGTGTCGATGTGCTACCTTTTACTCAAACAAACAAACAAATAAACAAACAAACAAACAAACAAACAAAGAGATTTTATGTGGTCGAGGAAGTAAACAATAAATCCCCCCCCAACTCTAGAAATGACATCATGGTGTTCAGTGTTCATACATCTCCAGGGGTCTACATCCCTAATAAACCAGCTCTGCAATGCATTTCTATTAACCGAATCTGCACGTTCGTGCGGGTCATGTGAACACAAGCAAAAAAAAATTACGGAATCGACAGTAAATTTTAAGTTTTCTTTATTCAGAAAAGCACAACCAAGAAAACGCATAGTCAACATCATTATTTTACATGAAGCACCATACTCACTCATACACTGGCGGGAGCACACACACAAGCACACACACACACACACACACACACACACACACACACACACACACACACACACACACACACACACACACATACACACACACACACGCGCACGCAAGCACACAAAAAACGTAGTGTGTAGTGTGTATACTTGCCCCCTCCAAAAAAAAGCCTCATTTACTAACGCTTATATAAATAAGGACATGCATGCAAGATCACTAAATGGCCATGATTGTTTCGATATGCGTCTCTGTACTCAAACAAATCAACGAACAAGACCTATCTATAGTTTCTCCCTCAGGACACCTGCTTTAACTCTAATGTAGCTGCAGTTAGGGGGAAAGAGCGAGGATTACACGCCATTTTTTGTTTACTTTGAGCCTACCCCCCCCCCCCACCCCCTTCCCTGCCCCCGAAATTTTTAAACCAATTAAACCGGGACTTTGAAAGCAAACGAAACTGATTACTTCACAGAAAAAATTTAGGACAAGTCGATAAAAGCTTAAATTATGGACTACGTTATGGGTTTATTTATAGGTGTATATTGAGGGTTTGCATTTGTATCATAGATCTAAGTTTTTCGACTTTTGACTATGGCAGGTGGCTTATTTTGGGGTTTGAGGTATAATATTCTAATATTCGTGATATAGCGTGTTGACGTAAAGACTGCGTTTGACCTCCAATGACCTTCGACTTTCTATTGTCTCGGTGTCTGAACGATTCAAGTTAATTACATCGAATTACATAATAAATATTTTTAGTTCGTAACAAATAAGAGAAGTAAGCCAGAGGTATAATATGCGAGGTTGCAAATTGTTTGGAAAAAAAAAATATGTAAAAAGCAATAAGTACCATACGTTAGAAAAGATTTGTTTACAGTTGTAAAGTCACAAAGCATCAGTTATTCATTATATGGACAGCTCAAATTTATTCATGATATCCCTCCCTTCAGTCTTCCACCAAATATATCGAACTGATCTAAAACTGCTATCATCTTGCGTCTTTAGAACTGTACAAACTTTGAGGGACAATCTCGCTTAGATATAATAATAAACATTCATAGCGATTGTGACAGTCACTATTTTGTAGGGTTTTTGATTACTACTTCCATGGAAACACGTTCCGCGGCGTTGGTTCAGTGCTGAAAATATATCCTTATGAAAATGCAAGTCTATGTACTTCAAAATGGTAGCTGTGATGTCGTTGGTCATGTGTATACACTAGGGGTATATTTATGTTGGTGTTTTACGCCACCTTCGGCGTAATTTAGGTCATATGGGAGGCCAGTTTTCGACCCTGCCTGTCAGGGCCAACACGGGCTGCGAGGGATACATCGCAGCAGAAGACCACTCGGTAAAAATGTTTTCCCAATTAGGGAATTGAACTCGGGCCTCCCGCGATATGCAAGAAACATAGAAAAAAGAGCAGGCAAATTGTACTGGACTTCGTCGACTTTCACCTCTTTTGGGGGAGTCAGGGAACCCTAAGAAACTATAACATTTCAAATGAAAGAGCTGCAAAATTGGACTTCCATTTTTTTCAAAACAACTGCATTTCCCCTCAACGCTCAACAGCAACAATGGATGAAAATTAAAAATATGAATTGAAATAAAATGGGGTAGTGTTGGAAGACACACGCGTGGGATGTTACCTTATTAAAAACAATATTAGGAACAGACAAGTCTTAAGCCAGCTCTGACATTCTTTATCATGGTTTCTTAATCGGTACTATCAGATGCATGTATTCGAAAACTATTTAGTCAAAATTCAAATTCTAGATATTGGAGAAAATCAAGAAAAGATACTTAATATAAGGTACAATTTTAACCGGGTGAAAGACGGTGTTCTCTTTACTGGAGGGAAAAACCTTGCTTTTAGACTTAGAAATAGTTTGACCAGTTTGCGGACGCGATGTTTCTGGGACACATGAATCGACATAAAGGCCTCGACAGTCATCTTGCTCTCGTCCAAAAAAAGGGAAAGGAGACAGAGCTAGACGAAGAACATCTACGATAGAAAATTTGAAAGGATGGGCGACGGGGAAGACCAGGATAATAATATCAGCTTTATGAAAGCATCCGAGCCGAGAAATGAGTGACGAACCATGATTGTCGATGTCTGTTTCAGATATATATCGAGCACTTCAAGATGATGATGAAATCGGTAAAGGGGAATTTGATCATATGAATTTAAAACAACCCCATCTCCAATGGGTGTGCACTACTTGTAATTCAGATACTACATGTATTTTGCCTCAAATCAACTAAATCCACTGAAATTGTGGGTTTATTGGAGGGCCGTAGTTTTCTTCTTGGTGACAGACAGTTAATCGGGTGATTCGCACACACTGCCGTCGGTGCTCTCGGGTTGTGAAGTGAGTACAAAGCTGCAGGACATGGTTCCCTGGCCACAATGACATGGGTAGGGTGGCCGGGGGGGGGGGTCTCAGACTTTAAATTTGAAGTGCAGATGCTGTATCAGTCAATTGTGGTTGCATCGAAGTCTGAAGATTGTAATCTGATTTGCCGTTGTTGACCAATGACCTCGGAAGATAGATCTTCTCATTTATTCTGGTGACTGCTGTAAAGTTCGTGACCATCATAACATTTTGCGCGCCTGAACCACTCCTTGATATCTGGTATAATGTTTGGGTATTTCTCCACATTCCACAAGCGATGACACAAATGGCAAAAGGATAAAGCCTCGTATCGAAATTCAGAGAAAACATCATCAGCTAAAAGATAGTCCTCATATAGCGAGAAATATTCGTCTTTTGCTTGAAGCATTTTCAAATATTCATCATCGTGCGAATCCAGATACAAAATTCGCTCGGCTAATTCCTTTGGGGAATCGAAATCTGCTGTATTGAGGAATGTCCCTTTCGGAGCGATATTTGAGTACTCGTTGATACCTCTTGCCACGACTATCAGATCTAAATTAAAGAACTTGAAGAATTTTTCGGTAATGTAATCATCACAAAAACCACTTTCAAAAGATAAATGAACTTATATCGCTTGCCAAGTTTGGCACTACACTCGCGATCGTGTTGTCTTGGGCATCTCTTTATACCACCACTGCCGACTACATCAACAGGCAGATACTGTTGCAGTTTTCTCACGTATCTGTTTCGATCCGACATGCTGTTCATATTGGATACAACCCAAGCGACAAGACCGGCCTTTTCAGCCAAGATGGTGGTATAATTTCTGCTGATCGGATGGCGTCGTTTCCGGATGAGCCCGTAGTAGCTTGAAATATCTGAATCGAAGCGGTAAGACAAGGTCCAGTTGAAGAAGTCTGCCCAGCCAGGCGTGTCCAGGCTAGCCCCTGTATGCCAATGCTGAGTGGTCGGAGCTTCGATCTGGTACAGAACCGTCACTTGATCAGGGCGGCGAATGGGTGGACTGCCAAACACGTACTGTTCTGAAAAACAGTTATGTGAAAATAAACAAAATGTACATACATTTATTTTTTTTAATAGGCATGGGAACAAAATGGTCAAGGGTGTCATTTTGAGCGTAACTGAGCTAGTTGGGCTTTTCTGAAGTTTCGTCGGATTATATCAAGAGCAAATATAATTATGGGTTTCCATTACAAGGGGATTCAGAAAAGTGATGTTTTAAATGGTAGCCTACTAAACGGAAAACAAGAAACGAGGTAGAGAGAGAGAGGGGGGGGGACAAACAGACGGACAGACTGACAATTGTAAACTGAAATCCAGCATTTACCATTTACTAACATAGCGGCACTTTTGCTCTCATAGCGTCTGTCTGACGTAATCAAACAAGGGAAATCTGGACACACCCTCAGCGGCTGAGGACAAGGGATGGGGCGAGCTGTAGCTTTATCCTGCCACCACAGGATGATCTTCCTATCTGTCTCTTTCCCAAGTTTAGAAATTGCTGTCTTTTGTGCCTCCAAATGATACCTTTCCATCTTTTCCTGGTCTTCAAGAAAAAACATTTCGGGAACAAAAGGTACATAGGACTCAAACTCTGAGGAGTACAGTAGACTATCTCCGGGTTCGAGAAACGGAAAACGGCGATACTGTACCCCGTTTTCCCACAGAACTTCCTCCCCTGTTTCTGTGACACATGGTATTAAACCATACCTGGTCATAATAAGATTTGACCTTTGCTCCAAATAGAGGTCAAGGTTATTCAAGGCCATAGCTTTGTGCGCGGGGATGTAAGGCTGCACACTCGCTGACGAAAGCGATCCGTTTAAAATGGACATGGAATCGCGAACGTCTCGCAAGCTGAGGCTTGAGCAAAGAGTTTTGCCAACAACGTAGCTTGTAGCGCTGATGTTTCCTCGTGACAACATCTGATTCTTCCGGAATGATGACGTGGGTGGTGACTGGCATCTGACTGGTGCAGGACCTCGGAAAGTATCGCCGAGCAGCATCAAAGTAGATGATAGGACTGTGAGAGCTAGCAAGACTTTCCACCTCCTCAATGAAGTTCGAGTTCTGAGAAGGTATCTTCTGAACAAAAGCATGCTAGTTGGACGTCCGCTCTCCCTCTGTAACAGTCTGTTGAGGGAATGGTATCAGTTAGAGCTAGCGAGTTTCCTAGGGCTCCTACCAATGTTCCACTTTCTCTTCCTCTTCACCAAAGTCACGTTAGTCCTCCTCCTCCTTCCTCCTCCTCCTCCTCCTCCTCATAACCATCATGTCTATCTCTACCACTTTCTATCTCACTCTCCTCCCCCTCAGCGTCTTTCAAAAAGCATACACAAACAATACTTTAATTATATGACAAAAAAGAAAAAGAGAAGAGCGGAGAGACGGTGGGCATGTTTTTTACATGCACAGTAAATGAAACTTAACTGCCACATTGGCCTATGCATATTATGGTGTGGCCTTTGCCGCAGATATGGATCATCCATCCTACAATGTTAATTTTGTTTGCTTTACTGACTGTTAGAAAGAAGAAATGTGAGATGCTGTTACTACGCTTATTTTTGGTTGCCACTAATAAGGCAGAAAAGACCTTTTATGTCCTTCGAATACGACACTACAACTGCGAACAATATCCAATACATGAAAAAGCAAATTATGGAGTTTATCTAAGTTTTAAATGTCAAACTTTTAAAACAAAGATCTAAACTCCATAATTGCCTTTTCCTGTATAAAAACAGCTTCAACATAAATCAATCATGCATCACATTACCGAAATAATGGATAGTCGCTGACGCTGATGCTTGCCACTTTCATCACATCAAACAATAATTGACAGCTATTCAGAACACTTGATGCACGTCCATATAGACTGCTCGGCATTCAAAGGCACAGCCAAGGCGTGATTTGGAATACTTATTTACTCACATATGGAAGTTCAAATGATATCTTTGCAGCCTTAGGAGAAAAATACTGCAACTTTGATGCAGAAATGATGGCAGTTTAAAAGCATTGTACCATCTCCGCACAGTTTTTGACATTCATCCTGACAAAGCAAAGTGTATTGTCATTCTACTGACTTACTATCAGTCCTGCAAGCAGTAGAAAATGACCATCTTCTAAATCAAGACCAGGCATGTATACTGTTTGGCTCCCACCACCTGGTGGTATCACCATATGGTGTCAATGTGGTGATGCAGTGGATTCCCGAAATCTCAGATACGTCTGGAAATTACTGCAGACTTATTTGCCTAAAGGGAGTCAAGACAGGAACAACTCAACATTCCAACTTCCTACCACGCTCCAAAACAATTCATCAGAAGCAATAAAAACCGAGATTGGGTGAACAGATCAGCCTTGGGAAAGACAGGCAGGGCAATTTTTAAACATATGACCACAACAATACGAAAATACAATATCAGCCACCTTCAGAGAAAGAAACAGACCACGATCTTCGCCTTCAAGCAGAAGATGTACAGCTCAACTTCCACTGAAACAAAACCAGATCTCCCCAAATAAAATAATGTGTGTGACTACGCATATATGAGAATGCATCAGCACCTGTTCCTTTGCACAGCCCAAAATGATATCAGAGCTCTACTTCTCTCCCACC